GCTCGCTGGAATGCCATCCATTATGAACCAAGGTACTCAACCCTCTCAGTTGCTGCCTCGATGCACCCTCCATCTCCTTTTACCAGTGTGTGAATCTTGTCCAGGACATCACATGCTCTGAAGTTGTTTCAAGTGGAGGGTGCTCATTTCCTCACCACTCCACTGTCCCCCCACACACACACACACACAACTTGGCTTGCTCCCCATTGTCTTTCCAAGCGCATTATTCCTCCACCCTTCACTGAAGCTGGAACAACCTCTCCTGCTCTTGTTGCAGTCACCTAATGACTTCCTGGTCACTCCCACACATTCAGAAGACTTGGGCATATAGTTCACAGCTTCCTCTTTCCCGCCTGGCTCCCTTCACCCCAACCCTGTCATCGTCCTGGGTGACTTCCAGACTAATACGACAAGTCGCCTAGAATTCGAACCGTGCCTCCTCTTTCACTGGGAAAATCAAGATCCTCAAGGAAAGAGTCCTCATCTTCCTTACCCTGCAATCTACCTAAATATCCCATCAGTGCCCATCCTTTCTTTCTCCCCTCCAGCATTAGTGGAAGAGGTGTTTCCTCCTCCCTATGAACTATGCCTCAGTCTGGACTCTGCATTCCATCACCTCCTTTCTGCCTCTTCTAGGATCTACTCCAACAATCATCTCCCAAAGAAGAGAGGGTAGAAAAAGACCAGTCTCAGGGCAGTAGTATGGCGAATGCCTATATTTAAGAAGTAGAACAAAGACTAGGTCACAACTATCAGTTAGAAGCCAGTGTAATTATGCTGGAGTTTTCAGTTTATTTCCTAAACATACCAGCCTAATGTGCTAAAAAAGCAAATAAGATTTTCTTGTGTCATTTTCGGTATCAAGGCTATTGGAAGTGAATAATCATATTAACCTCAGACAAGTAACCTAGGACACTTTGTGCAGATGTGGTAATGAAACCCCAAGAGAGATATTAGTAGATCTGGAAATAGTCCAGCGGAGAGCAATTAAAATAATCAAAGGGGAGCAGCAACTGATGTTTTAAGAAAGACTAAAGGGATAAAGAACCTCTTCAGTCTGGAAAAACAGCTAGAAGAGTCAACAGCAGCAACAACAGCAATAATAATAATAATGGTTAACATCTATTGAGCGCTATGTGTATGATTATTCTAAACAGCTTATCTGTATCGTCTCAATCCTGACAACAATCTTATCAGGTAAGTACAATTATTATCCCTACTTTACAGATGGGAAAACTGGGGCACAGTGAAGTTAGGTAACTTGCCCAATCTCCCAGACATAGTAAAGCAGAAACCATTATTCAAACCCAATCTGATTCTAGAACATATGCTTTTAACCATGGTAGTATGTACCTTCCAGCAAATAAATCCTAAAGATATGAATCAAGTAGCCACAGTTTTGTTTACTAAGATTCAAAACTCTAAATACCAAGAAACCACTTAATGCTTTAAGAGAAATACATTGTTTTGTCATTTGAATTTCTTACACTGAGCACATTACTTTTATAAAAAAAAATTAAGAGGATGCAATTTCAATATAAATATTGAAAATGCTAGTTTATCTAAAAGGTAGTAAACTTCCAGAATTTGTTACCCAGAGAGGTTGTCATAAGTATAAATAGCTTTGAAAGAAAACTTTTTTTTTTAAAGATTTTTATTGGGGAATTGCGGGGAGGGGAACAGCGCTGGGGAATTGGGAGAAGGGGAACAGACAAGCTGCTGTCGTTTTGTTCTTCAATCTAGTTGTGGAGGACGTTGCTTCACTGGCCCAAGCTGGCACCATCATTGTGCTCTTCTCTGGCGAGGCAGATCAGTCGCCGGCTTCTGGACGGCCGCTCACTGCGGCTGCTGGCCGCTCACGCTGGCTGCTGACTACACACGGTAGCCCATGGCAACCCACTGCCACAGGGACTGCAGCCTACGCCGCCGCCAGCGACTCATGGCAGCCCAGCTCCAGGTTGAGCTGTTGTTCAGCATCTTAGCTGTGGAGGGCAGTGTCACTGGCCCTCCTATGTGGGATCCGAACCGGGGCCCTCTGGCATCCCAAGCGAGTTCTTAACCATCGCGCCACTCGGCCGGCCCGAAAGAAAACTTTGAAGGAAGATTTAGTACTCACAATAGACATATATATCTCTTATAGATACCTATCATAGTTAGGAACATATTCCTAAGGAAAGTGGAGTTTTAAACCAGGTAGGAAAGGACAGAGTGTGCTAGATAGAGGAAGAATCTGTGTGGAAAACTAGAGGCATGAGTGGTGTATGAAGTTACTCATCTAGTTGAGTGGCATGTAATAAAGCTGATTAACTTGAAGACGATTCTGGGTTGCAGTGGTTTCTCTTTTCAACAGACTATCCTGGGAAAACCAGATGAGTCTTCATAAATAACACCTGGGTAGGAAACACTTTAAAGATCATTATCCTCACCTTTAACAACGCCCACAGCATTTATCCATTGTGTGTATGGAAAATGGCTGTTTCTCTGGAAAAAACTAAAAGCACTGCTGGGGTCACCTAAGAATTTAAATGCTCTTTCTCATGAAGTTTGATTTTTGTTCCAAGAGCTCATTAAATCAGTGCTGGCACTAGCTGTACCTTGCACCTTTGAGATTAACTCCGACCTAGAGAACAATGTAAGAGTGGACTCAAGGTACTTGTCTGAATGATACAGTCCGTGGTAACTGTGACTACAAATACCTTGGCTTCCTTTTAGGTTGGAATCCACAGATAAGACATTTAAAATTCCACTCCATGAATATGAGTTAACCACTTCCTTCTAGAAAATGTGAAAGTAGTCTCGTTTCTTTTGTCCTCAATACATGGGTAAGAGATTCAAAGGAAGAGAGTGGGGAATGCATTTTAAGAGGGTAATGGAGAAAACAAAATCTAATGCCTGGACATAGGTCACTTCCCTGAAGAGTAACGTAATGTATTAGTGGCCTATACAAATATCAAATTCCTTACTGGCTCTCTCTTTTATTCTGTACTCCCATCTTTTTAAAAGAAAGGAACAAGACCTCAGCTCCTTTAAGAAACCTCCTAATCATTTTCTGCCTCAGATAAATTAAGATTAGAAAGGGTAAATTAATAGGGTACCTGAAAAGGCTAATTTCAATTTCACCATTATAAAAGCTAAAACAAAGTTTTAAGATTTTTTTCTGCTCAACTATCTTTTCTATCTTGAACCTCCCAGGGGTGGAGAAGGAAGTACTTTCCTGTCAAGTGGAGAGAGATTATTTCCTGGTTCTCCCTGATTGGGAGGTTTATAAATAGTACTACATTTGTAAAGAATACATTATACTATACTTGACATTGACCAAGTACTGTGTCAAATCTTCACTGAGAAGTGAAGAAATTGGAGAATTCCCACAGAAAAATAATGACCATAATTAATGTTTGGAAAATGAGATCCAGGAAAAAAACTATACAGGTAAAACTGAGGAAATCTGATAATTCTTGGAGGACTTCTTTATTTTCTAGGTTTTTTTTTCAGCTTTGAGGAAGGTCAAGTATATCGGGAAATGTTTATCATCAATCAATGATTTATCAACATTTAAGAAAGCATACAAGTCCATAGGGATTTTTGAACCCAATTCAAATGAATGGAAGGAGTCTCTATAGAGATCCTTCCAAACAAGGATTCTTTCCCATAATTTATCAAGTCGCTTAACAAACATTTATTTAAATGCTTACCATATGACAGGCAATGTTCTAGATAGACAGAAATCTGTCCTCTTGCAACTTACATTCATCAGTGGGGGTAAGAGAGACAGTAAACAATAATGACACAACAAATACAATAAATAGGTAAATTGCAGAGTATAAAATTGATAAAAAATAGAGCAGGCTAAGGGGATCAGAAATGGGAAGGTTGCAAATTTAAAAGAGGCGGTCAGGATAGGCATCTTCAAATAAGTGAGGGTGAGCCAACTGATGCAGCTAAAACATAGAATCCTGACAGCATTGAGGGGCAAGAATGGGTGTTCATACTATGCATTTACCTTGTGATACGCAGTTTCCACCCCTGTGCCACTCAGAGGGCACTGGAGGAATTGGTGCAAAGTTGTGTGTGTGGGGGGGGTGAAGACAAATTCCATTTTGGCCATATTAAGTTTGAAGTGCCACTGGATAGAAACAAATGACGAGCAGCTAGTCGGAAACGCAGGGGTGGAGCTGAGGAGTTAGAGATAGAGCTGTTGATTTGGAATCACTGGGATATCTCGAATGGCTGAAGCAGTGGAAATGAATAGGTAAGCTCACCAAAGAGCAGAGTGAAAAGAGGTCAAGGGGAGAACTTTACTATTGAATGTCTATATTTTGGGGGACGAAAACAAAGAAAAATTGAGAAAGAACAGTGCATTTTATTCTAATCAGAGAGAGAAACAGACGGAGACAGAGACAAGATGGGCCTGAGTTGTTACCATCTTTTTATGCCTCCCCTTTCATTTCTCCCTAATGTAAACGGGTTCTCTTCACCACAAAACACTCCCGCTGCGCTACACCCCTTTGTGCGCGAATCCTTCTTGAAGACCTTTTCAAGATAAGAAGGGAACTAACTCTTGCTGTGCGTATCCCCCTGAGCGTGCCACGTGTTTGAGGCTCCAAATCCCAAGCTGTTTTCCTTTGCTTTCACATTCTTGCCTCCTTCAGTAGTGCCGGTTCCCAAAGGGCTGAAGCGTAGGAAAAGCCAACAGAAAACAAAGGACACAGTTTGAGGGAAAAGCAAAACAAACAAACGAAAACCCCCCTGCCGGGAACAGAAATCCAACACCGATGGCCTTTAAGCCAATCCCTCCAGCCCCCAGCCCCTCTGCCCCACCCGGGCCTCTCCTCAGGCCCCGCCCCTGCCTTTCCATATGTCCCGCCCTTTGCCCCGCGGCCCACGCTCATTTGCTGGCGCCTTTCCTCTCCTCTTTTCCATTGGTCAGCTTTCACTTCTTGTTTCATAAACCCCTCCCCCCCCGCCCCACTCAGCTTCGCCCCCTCGCAGAGAGGCGGAGCAGCGCAGGCTCCGCTTGCGGACACTCGCGGACCTTTTTCAGTGTGCTTTCCTTTTCTTCCCGGCATTCCTGTTTCCGTTTTCTCAAGGCTCTTTGGTTTTTCCACCTCTGCGAGGCACTTGGCGCCCAGGGGTGCAGTGACGTCATCATTCTGCGCAGCGCGGACACCCGCCGGTGAAAGTGGGAACTGCTTTGGTGCCCTGCACTGCTTTTGTTGGGCTGCTGTTCGTCCGGAATCATGGCGCCGTCACTGTGGAAGGGGCTGGTGGGCATCGGCCTCTTTGCCCTAGCCCACGCAGCCTTTTCCGCTGCGCAGCGTAAGTGTTTGGGGGACGCCGACTGCTCCTGTGCGGGACTTCAGGGACGGTGTGTGGGTGCACCCCAGAGGGAGTGTCAGACGGAATGTCCCGGGAAGGGTCATTCAAGACCTCAGAGTTTGGGGTGATTACGAGAAGCGATGCAGGGCTCCCAGGTGGAAGATTGAAGCAGCGTTAGAAGGGGGGTGTCTGGAGGGCTCAGAGAGGGATGGGCGGGCTGCAGGGTGGGCAAAGAGGGGGGTCTACCCAGGAATCCAGGACAAGTGATATCAAATACAGCGCGGGGCTGGTCAGGCAAAGTGTCAGATTGATGATCCTGGATGCTTACGGTCCCATGACAACGAGGTGGACAGCATCTCGGGCACTCCTAGGCTGCCCAGACAGTGAGTGCGAAGTGAAGTGACCGTTTACCTCAGGGACTGTGGTAGAGGGGAAAGAGCGCTGGACTGGTAGTCTGGAGGGCCGGTTCTTAAAAACTTGCTTTGCCACTAAATCTGTGTGACCTTGGGCAAATCATGTCCCTTCCCTGAGGCTTCACTGAGGTTGATTTTAATTCCTGCCCTTTCTATGTCACAGACTGATTGGGAAGTTTAAATGAAAAAAAGTAGAAGTACTTTTATCATACAGATAAAATTGAATTGTCGAGAAGAAACCCAGCAGAGGATGCAGTGCAGTCTTGAGACAGCTGACCTGTTTTGATGTCTTCCTTCTCTCCTCCACCAAGGGTCAGCAGACTCTGGCATGTGGGCCAAACGCAGCCTCCCTCCTGTTTTCTTAGTGAGCTAAGGATGATGCTACATTTGTAATTTGTTGGGGGGGGGGAGAAGCAAAAGAATATCATTTTATGATCCATGACAGTTATATAAAATCCAGGTTTCAACGTCCATTAATGAAGTTTTATTGTCACAATCACACCCATTCATTTAGGTATTGTCTGGCTGCTTTCTAAGAGCAGAGTTGAGTAGTTGTGATAGAGACAGGATGGCCTGCAAAGCCTAAAATATTTATTATACCAACGTCACAGGTAAAGTTGGCTGACTCCTGTCCTAGCCTATAGAGCCCATGAGGGCAGGGACAATGTATGTTTTTTTATTTATCGCTGTACTCCCAGTGCCTAGCACGATTTTCCCCACAGTAGGTATTGAATAAATTTGTTGAATGAAGGACATGAATTCAAATTTGAACTTTATTCCTTTATTTGCTAGGTTACTTTCCATTTTCAGGAGTAAAGTAGAAAATGAAATGTGAATTCCTTCAAAGTTCCAATTTTTTTCAAGTTAAACCGTTTTGTTATGTTTATTATATATAATTAAAATGATCCACTTATTTTAACTACTTATTACATGTATTATGACATTGAAGGAAATACAACTTATTTTTGAACACATTTTTATTTAGAAGTTTTAGATTTACAGAAAAGTTGGAAAGATACTATAGAGAGTTGAGAGTTACTGTATAACCCTCACCCAGTTTCCACCATGGGTAACATCTTACCATGGTATATTGTCACAACTCAGAAACTGACATTGGTATATTACTATTAACAAAAGTCTAGCTTTTATTTGGATTCACCAGTTTCCATTAATGTCTTCTTTCTATTTTAGGAATCATTCCAGGGTATCACATTACATATAGTTGTCATGTTTCCCCAGTCTCCTCTGTTCTGTGCTGGTTTCTCCAAAGCTCCAATCTTGAATGATAATGATAATAGCTAACATTATTAAGTACTTATCTAGTGCTAGGAACCAAACTAAGCACTTTACCTGTATTATATAATTCAGTCCTACCAAAATCCCTGTGAGGCAGCTATTATTGTTATTGCCGTCTTTGAAAGATGAAGAAATTGAGACACAGCTAGGAAACTTGCACAAAATTAGAGATGAGAAATGGTGGGGCCAGGATTTAAAGACGAGCAATTGGACTCTGGAGCCTGTGTGCTACACTGCTTTATAGAATTCAGTCTTGGAGAATTGGTTGAAATTGCATGTGCTTGGGTGCTAGAGGTACAGTGATGCCCTGAGGGAGTTTATAGTCAAGTGGAGAAACCAATGGATCAAGAAAGTGATACAGATGCTACGCTAAAATATGTAAAGCTCCGTGGAGACTGGCGTAGTCCTAGAGCCTTGCACTCAAGTGTGCTCAATAGACCAGCAGGGTTGTAATCACCTAGGAGCTTGTTAGAAATGCCCGCCCCAGATCTGCTGAATCCTAATCTGCATTTCAGTGAGATTCCCCAGGTGATTTGTGTGCAGATTCCTTTGAGGAGCACTGCCCTAGGGGCAGGAAGGAGTCTGTGGAGTGCTGCGGCCATTTTCTACAGTAGGCTTCAGCCCTAACATTTTAAGGGACTGGAGCAAGATCATTGAAGTCCAGCCCCTTGGTTTTACAGCTGAGGAGATGCCTGGGTAAAGGCAGTGTTAGAGTCAGATGAGGCTTCATGCAAAGAAGAAAGCTAGCTGGGAACTGCACAGACAGTAGGAAGTTAGTCAAAACCTATTTTTGGTATTGGTTTGATTTTTTTTCTTTTACACTTGTCCTTATGATAAACCCTGTAAGAGAAAACTTGAGAAGGTCTATAAACACATTCCCTTTAGAGAGTCAATACACATCTGCTCAAACAATTTGGGTTTTTTAGTTCACAATACATTGTTAAATAGGGAGTATGCAAGGCTCCTGTAGAAGTAGGATTTTGTGTTTCCAATGAGGTGAAAATGCCTTGGGGCCTTTGTCACTACATACAGCAGGACCTCTTTATAATGCTCATGTTGGAAAGGGACTAATATTTACCTTTGAGGCTAATTGTGTAGTGTGAGATTGTGGCAGCAGATAGCATACAATGGTGAGGAACTCTTATGACAGAGCATGTATCAGGTATCTTATATATTTCTCACATTATTCCTATTTTGTTGCAGAAACTTAGGCAGTGAAAAGATAGCTCCTGTATTTCTTTGATTCTAAGACTCACTTGCCCTCCCACTCTTCCATTTTAACACTCTGAAATTGAGCTACATGTTACATGAGGATGTCTTACATTGAATGAGATAACATCAGTTACAGTAAGTTGAAGAGCTGGTTTTTATGATCCAAGTTTATCAGCTTCCAAATCGCGATCCTTTTCCTTCAGACCTTGCTGCTTCCTGAGACTAATACAGAAGCAGCGTTATAATTGAATCACGGAGGCAGAAAGTGATGCCCTGGAATTTGTCCTGTTCCACCTGTGCCCCCAGCATATTCTCTCAGGAAAAACATTTCCATATCAATTGTATGTGATGGTGGTGCTATTTCAGAGTTGAGATTTTCTGCAGGCTTATTAATTTTTAAATAATTGTGATTTCTGTGACCAGGCGGTGAAAGAAATGATTGGTTTCAGAGGATTCTAGTTTTCCTGTGGTAATATGTTTAGTTATTTCTTTCTCATACTTGCTCACCTATCACTTTTACCCCGTTGTATTGGGTTGTCGGAAAAGTCATGCCGTATTTTTTTATGTGTTTTTCCGTTGCAAAAATGCGTCATGACTTTTCCGACAATCCACATATAAGGTGACAGATCAGGTCATGATGAAAATAAAATGGTTCAAGATCAGGCTGACAGCCTTAGAAAATAGAGGTTTTTGAGGAATCCAGGATTAGTGTTACTTTATGCAGCATACATCAGCTGCTGCTTCGGTATATTGATTTGCTTGCATTTTAAGAAAGAAAAATGGGTTACAATTTCTTTAATGGTATGCTTCTCATTTATAGATCGTTCTTATATGCGATTAACAGAAAAGGAAGATGAATCACTGCCAATAGATGTAAGTTGATCATTTATATTCTATTAACATGTATTTTAAAAATTAGCCATATAGCTTATAATAATATTTTTAATGGGTTTTATTCTCTTAAAATTTTACAGACATGAAATTACCTCTGTTCTCTACTTTCTGTCACTTATTGTAAAACCCAAAGATTTGGAAACAAAAGATTTCTGTTTGGGTTCTAGAACTGTAGTTTAAATAGTCTTTCTAAAAGTTGCTCTGTCCATAGTCTGAGATGGACTTAAAAAGTTGATTATTTGACTTTATTTTTTTGAAAAGTTCATTTTTATTATAAAGTGTAAGAACAGGCAAAACTAACAAAACATTGTTTAGGGACATATACATCGGTGGTAAAACTGAAAAACAAGGAAGTTTTTTTAAGTTAAAATGATATGTGGGCTTCAGTCACAATTTTCATCTTCATTGGATTTTAAATTAAGAAATAATAAGTTCTTTGTAACAGAATCAAACAGTAACCGTAAAAAGTAAAACCGACCCCATAGCAACAACAACAAAAAAACCCAACCTGACTCCATTGCCAGCAATTCTACCTCTTATTATGAACAGTTTGGAGTATACAAGTAGTTCAATTTTCTCCCTGTGCGTAAACAACATTATCTTTATTTATATCTGTATAGTTTTACCTAATCAAAACACGCAGAATTTTGCTTTAAAAAGTTATTATGCATCTGTATATATGTATAATTTTATAATTAGATTTTTTATTACCTAATAATCTGTCTTGATACATTTTCATGATGACTCATAGATTTACCACATTCTTATTAATGGTACCTATGATTGCATTATATGAAATAGAACTTGGTGCACTGGTGGTGGGAATGGAAGCTGGTATAACATGACATTAGGTTTTAATTTAGAAAGTTAGAGTAATAGCTTGTGGCTAATTTTGAGTTTAGTTGTCTACGATCAAAGATATGGTCGATGTGACTATTAACTCATTCTCCTGTCACGTTTTCTTAGTGATAGATGCACACAGAGAGACACACACACGTTCATTTATATCTACTTAAAATAACTTTCTTCTGTTTACACATTGGAGATTTTGAAAAATAGAGAAAAACACAATTAAGAAAATAAAATATGCCTGTAATCCCATGTTGGTTAATATCAAGCATTTATTGCAAGTTTTTGCTTGCACAACCTCTTTGGAAAGCAGTTTAGTATTACCTAACAAAGCTCAATGTGCATATACTTGACACCTATGATTCTACTGCCATGCACTAGGAGACACACACAAGGATATCTATGTTGACATTGTAAAAGTAACACACAGGAAACATCCCATATAACCATCAACAGTGGAATGGATAAATTGTGGTATTTTCATATAATGAAATACAAAACACAATGAAAATGAATGGACTGTAACTATACTACAACAGGGATGAATCTCATGAAAAAAGTTCAAAATGAGGAAAAGTAAGCAATATGTGTTTTAGAGGTGCATACATAGCTGGTAAAATTATAAAGAAAAGCAAAGAACTGATTAATACACAATTTGGGACAACAGTTAACTTTGAGAGGGAGGGAGAAGGATATAACTGCAGAGAGACACATGAGATTTAAAAGGTACTAGTAATGTTCTGTTTCTTAAGCTGGATGGTGGAGAAAAGGTGTTCTTTTGATACTCTATGATATTTAACAATAATATGTTAACAAATTCATAGTTGCTCTTGGAAGCAGGTAGTAGTTGATAACTGAGTTTTGAATGGCTCAGTACTTGTTTTTCCTATTTGAGCAAAACCCACAAGTAGTTTTGCAGCCAATCCACAGAATTTATAGAAGATTTTATTGTGTCTAAGTCCAAATCATTCAAAATGAAAATTGACTCCTTGATAGGATCTGGGAGAAACACCTGTTAGAGGTTAAAAAGAGATGGGGAGAAAATTGGAAGTTTTTATAATAATATTTGTATGTTATTTAGTAATCTCAATCTTTATACTCACAGATAGTTCTTCAGACACTTCTGGCCTTTGCAGTTACCTGTTATGGTATAGTTCATATTGCAGGGGAGTTTAAAGACATGGATGCCACTTCAGAACTAAAAAATAAGTAAGTCACTTTTTGTATGCGTTTATTTTCTTAGGGGTTTTGCTTCATTTACATCATGGAAATGTGTGTATTCTGGTATATAAAAGTCGATTTTGTTTTTACATTTTGATTATACAAGTCTGTATGAGTAATGAAATGAAAACATTGAGGCAGCATTTGATATGATAGGAAAAATGGAAGTTGAATGACCCATTATTGACATTAGAATAAAATGTTGTATGTGGTTGCTTAAAATGATTTGTTGGTTGGGTGTATGGATGGCTGGATGGAAATAGATATATAGGAAGATATTCCCTCAGAAGTTTTTTCTTCTTTCCCTTCCTTCCTCCCTCCTTTCCTCACTCCCCTTCCTCTCCTGCCCTCTCTTTCCTTCCTTTTCCCCTTCTTTTCTTCTTTTTATTTTCTTGTCCCAGCTTAGTCTTTGGAAGAATAAGGGGTCTTCTGTTTCCTCTGCCACTTGAACCTAGTCTGTGATATAAACTCGGCTGTCAGGCCCTTTTCTATCCCTGGATTAAAGTATATTTGTTATTCTGCTTTCTTTTTTCTCCTGTACTTCTTCTAAGCTATTTTTGTGAGCTTTGCTTCTTTTTTCCCCATATTTCTTACTTTCATAAAATCATCCTTTAGCTTTGTTCACTTCCATCTCTGGACTTTACCCACTTTATTGATCCTGGAAAATTTAACCCTTTACAGTATTTCCTTAGGAGGATTCACAATAAACATTTATGTGTTAGAGGAAACTCACCCTCTTTTAACTTTTTAGTTTATATTTTAACTAGTCACATTTCAGGCTTCTTGTTCTATGTGCAGATATGCTTGGATTTTTAGGTGGGCTGACTTTGAGATTGGAGTTTTTATCAAAAGAGGAATTCATTTTTTTCCAGGAAAATAATATTTAAAAAACATACCAACACTAAAAACCATACACTTAGGTAAACATAGTTTAAAAAGAACTTTTTTTTTAGACTACATATCTCTCACTGGAAAAAGAAGAAAGGGTACTTCACTGTCACCACCCACTACTGTTCTTACAAAGAGTCTATTAAGAATGACAGGCAAGGGGCCAGGAAAGAAAGACGTAAAACAGAATGACATTAAGTAGATGGTAGCAAAATATATGAGTTTGGACAATAGCAGGTACAGAAGGGCCAAAGCAATTTTTTTGTTGTACTTGAAAGATTCTTGGAAAACGGATCTGTGAAATGATCATAGGTCTTGAAGAGGGCGGGCCAAATGAGAATAATCAAAGGTACAATCGCTGTACAGGTTTTTTTGTTTGTTTGTTTGTTGTTGTTTTTTAAGATTTTTATTGGGGAATTGGGGGGATGGGAACAGTGCTGGGGAATTGGGGGAAGGGGAACAGACAAGTTGCTGTCGTTTTGTTCTTCAGTCTAGTTGTGGAGGACCTTGCTTCACTGGCCCAAGTTGGCACCATCATGTACGGGTTTTTTAAAAAGACTATTTGGCATGGGCTAGTGTTAGATCTATAGAGGTGATTAAAGTTGAGCGATTACTTGTGTTAGTCATAGGCATACTGGAAAGGAGTGCTGAGTAAAATATTTGAGTGCTATATGTTGTTGCTTTTCTAGATTTCCTAGTTTCCTTATACAAGGGGGAAATGACATACAGTATGATTACTGTTTATAGTCTGATGTCATGGATTTACATTTAGTTTAAAATATAACCTGTAGCAAATTTTGCAATTCATCAGAAGCCTGCTTATTTTAAAATAGGCTTTTATAAAGGTGTATCTAAAACACATGCTTTTTTTTTCTTTTAAGGACGTTTGACACATTAAGGAATCACCCATCATTTTATGTGTTTAATCATCGTGGGAGAGTGCTGTTCCGGCCTTCGGATACAACAAATTCTTCAAACCAAGATGTGTTGTCCTCCAACACATCGTTGAAGTTACGAAAACTTGAATCACTGCGTCGTTAAGATTTTTACAAATCATAACAACAGGACAGCACACAGAGCTGGAATATTGGAGTTTGGGGTATAAAACACTCCCCCCCCCCCATCAGTATTTATATTGATCTTTCAGACCTAACTAAAAAAAGTCTATGGCCCTTGTTTGTAAACTGTTAATCATTGATGCAGTATAAATTATGTGTGAAATAAGTCTTTGATCTTTCATAGAATTCTTTTGTTTTTTTAAAACAAATTCTCATCTTTTGTAAAAGTCACTGTTTGAACACAGTTCTTTGCAAAAAATGTCTATGGTTTTGTAATTATTTATTAGATTTCTTTTCTTTTGCACTACAGTGTTTAGGATCCTTTTGGAAATCATGTGACTACTGCATTTTGCAGCATGAATCATAGTAAAATGTTCTTCAGTTCTTAACAACAAATGGACTTCTCTAAAGAGATTTAAAAAGGTGACTTAATCGGTTTTTCTTATGCCCCCTAAAATGGCTCTGCTTCAGGAGATAGTTGTCAGTTTTTAATTTATCCATGACTTTTCACCCCACCCGACTTCCATATACCTTCTAACATCAGCTGTCTTGTTTCATCACTTCTCTGGGGTTCTGTGCGCAGTGAGCAATTTTCATGTCCGAATTCTTTGTCATAACAAATATATTTAACAAACTCAACTTGCTGTAAAGCTACTTGTGTTCTCTTCTTTTATCGGTAAGAAATCTCCCTAATTGGTTATGTAGTATAAGAATAGTTGAAGATAGACCAAAAAGACCATTTGTGATTTAATTATCCTGCCTACATAGAAGACTAGTAATTACTGAGGAAAACTGATTTCTCATTAGCCAGTTTAACTTATTCAAAGTCTGCTATTTTATTGCACACCATACGAGTGAGGTAGTAAAAGTAAACTTCTCATTAAAGGTAGACTTCAAAGGAATTGGGCCAAATATGTTCTAAATATTTGAAACTAATATTTGTAATTTAAAAGAAAATAAGGTCATTTAAGAAATTGTTTTGTAGCTTCTGATTTCTAGCAGGCTTAGAATTTTTCATCTTTATTGTATGTTGCTGAAGATGAGGAAGAAGATAGAATATTTTTAGAAGCAGTACTTTTAATTTTAGGGAAAATTTGGCAGCTCTTTGATCTGCAGAAAGCTTAACATTTCTTTGTAGAGAACATTTATTGAATTCTACAGGTATGAAAACATTGCTTATGTTGAATTGTATCGATGTAAAGGGAATAACTACGCAGATTTGAAGAGTAAATGTGCTTTAGGCAAGAGTCAGATGGTGCCCTTACACTTAATGGCATTTTTTCCATTAGAAATGGACCTCAGCTCTTCTGTTCTACCTGGTAACACACAGCCCCAAAGCAGATGATTTATTTTGTCATTGGGTTTTTATTGTTGTTTTGTTTTGTCGACATAGTCTGTCTGTGGAACACTGACTCTGCTCTCTAAGAACAAAGTTAGAAATCTTCTAATAATCCAAAATGATTTGGACATGAGTTAAAAATGTGAAGTCAGGAGTTAAAAGTGATGATGATAAAATAAAAATAGTGTGGGAGAAAGAAACTCCTTACACCAGGCTTCTATACTGTTTCCTCAGGTATGACCTGATTTGCAAGGGCCTCTTGCTTTCTTCTGTCTTGGGGATGTGTTCCTTTCCTAATATGTTTTTATAACAACTTTAATAAGATATAATTCACATACTTTACAATTCACCCATTTAAAAGGTGCAATTCAGTGGTTTTGCAATATAGTCACAAGTTGTACAACCACACCCACAGTCAGTTTGAGAACATTGTCATCACCCCAAAAAGAAACCCTGTGTCCTCTAGCAGTCACATCTCATTTCACCCCAATGCCTCCCAGCCCCGAGCAACCACTAGTCAATCTACTTTTGATCTCTATGATTGGCTACCTACTCTGGTCATTTAAATGGGATTGTACAGTATCAGGTCTTTCATGACTGGTTTCCCAAATATAATTCTATGTGGAGTGAGAAGTTTTTCTCACCTTGGGAACTAACTGTGACTGCTGTGGAAAGACGTGGTTGGTAAAATCTAGATGGAGGACGGAGGGTTGGCTACCTAAGAGTTTAATTTCTCAATTAATATTATGCTGAATAGTTTTTCCTTATAACCAAACATTCGTGACATACTATTGGGTTGTTGGAAAAGTCATGACGTATTTTTTCTATGTTGTTCATTGCAAAAATGCATCACGATTTTTCCAACAACCCAATATTACTTACAATATTTTGGCTAGTTTCTAGAATGGATATTGAAATCTTTGCTTACCTAGTCAAGAAAGTCCTGCTAAAAATGATGCCAAATAATTTTTCAAATAATTGACATAGCAGTTTTCAGTCGTGTCTCACTTTGCTAGCAGCTTGTAGACCTCGGGCCAGGTGAGCTTCCCAAATTTCGTCCTTAATTTCCTCTAGTGAATTTCTGCTATCTTTTTCAAGTATGTACCATAGGACTAAAGGAAATTTGAGTGCATCATAACAGTGCTAAATGGATTAACTTCAGAATTTTATTTATAATGCTATGAGACAGTCCATGACTACCTAAGGGTAGTCCCCAAAATGTAGTGATGTGAGTTAGTTCAGCCGGCAGTTGACTGATTTCAGTGACGTTCAGATAATTGAACTATTGAAGGCTCTCTAGACTGTAGGAAAATGCACTTTTTAATCAGAGAACCAGCCAAATGCTATGGGCTACCAGCCCCACTGTAGACAATGCACATCGGGGGAACCGGAGACTACGATGCTCTGTAACTCCCTAATGACTGCTTCCTAAGCACTGTAGCTTCTTTTTCAGTGGCATGACAGCATCTTCCTGGTTGTATGTGGCCTGTTTCCATGATGTATTGAGTAGTGTTTGTTGTGAGCATCGATGCCTGTAACACCAAGCTAAACACATTCTTTTGGATATGTTCCCCTCTTTAAATGGCCTTGCCCTGTCTAATAAATAAATGATTGTCTGACCCTCACCCTGTATTTGGTAGTGTTTTTTTTTCTTTTGTACTTTTAATCTCCTTTTTTTTTCCTGCTTCTCTGTCCCCAGAAAAATGTAAGAGTTTATTTTATGACTATTTTTTCCAGTGTGATGCTGTTTTATTCAGGGGATACTTTAATTTTTAGTGTAGCAATATATTTAAAGTCTTATTGCAATTTTTTGTTTTTTTGGAGTTGAAATAGAATGTGTAATCTCATTTATGTTTATAAATAATCAAATGACCTTTGGAGTATGAGAATTTTCGTCCCTGTGTAGCAGTGTCTATAATCATTCCATCACAAATGTATTATATAGCCAAACTACCATTACAAAATGTCACTTCATACTTAACAGGAAATCACGATTGAAGCATGAAAAGGCAAATCTAAAGATTAATGAAAATCCAAGGGGAAGTTATGGTTTGCAAAACTTGACACTTACCTTCAATATTTTAAAAAATAGCACTACCAATATTCAAATCTAACTAGTGATATCTCAAAATAACCTACTAATGAAGTATTCTTTAAAGAGAAAAAAAGAAAAATACTATATGCACATGGCAAAAAAAGTCAGATGGTACAGAAAGGCATGAAATGAAAACTTGCCCCCCTTCCTTCATACTCCTAATACCTTTTTCAAAGGTAACCAGCTTAAAGTGTCTTGTATATATTCTTTCAGGAAAAAAATTATTTGCCAGCAAATATATACTTTTAAAAAAGTGTACATTAATGGAATCAGATGGTATACAATTTTCTGTACCTTGCTTTCTTTGCTGCCATAAAATCTTTCTATACTAGTCTATACAGAATCATCTTGTTCTTTTTAATGACTGTGTGGTATTCCAATGTATGCATGTGTTACACATGTTTAAACATTTTAGTATTGCTAAACCATATTGCAGTGAACATACTTGTACGTATAATGAGATTATACTGACGGTTCATTCCTAGCAATAGAATTGCTGGGTCAAAGGGCATTTTTCATTTCATGTCAGTAGTTACTGACAAATTGTTCCCCAGAAATCTTTGCCCAGTTATATTTCCACATATAATGAATAAGAATAACTTTTTATAAGGCCCATGCCAATATTGGGTACTAAACTTACTAAAATTTTGTCTTCATAAAATGACTAAATGGTATCTTGCATCTTAATGAAGCTGTAATGTATTTTAATGCAGGAGATGGAACACATTTTCATGTTCATTGGTTTCTTTTATTTTCTGTGAACTGTGTGGTCATGTTCTGTTTTCTGTTAGGTGATTTGTTTTTTGTTGATTTGTATGAGCTCTTTGTAAGCTATGAATAGTGGTGCATTGTCATATGTTTAATGATGTTTTCCTGAGTTTTGTTTATTTATTTATTTATGTAGTTATCCGTCTTTATGGCTTCTGGGATTTGTGCCTTGCTTAGAAAGGCCTTTACATTGACGAATAAATTTGATGTATTTTCCCAATATGTTTAAGTTTCTTTTAACCTTTAAATCTTTGATTATTTTGTAATTAGGTAGAAGGAGTGAGGGAACGATTGAACATTTTTCTCCCCCAATAACTATATGTTTATCCAATGCCCATTTATTGACTTTGTTACACACTGATTTCTAAAGCCATCCTTATTCATACATTGAATTTCCATATATATTTAGATCTGTTGCAAAAATTACCAGTCTTTTAATTATTTTAAGCTATTACCTATTTTTATATTTGGCTTTG